AGTTGCATAAAATAATTTGGGCTTTTCATTAAAAATATTTTCACAACTTGAATTTCGTTTTAATTTTTAAGTAAGAACAAATCAAAAAGATTATTTTTATAATACAAATAAACTCATGATTAACTTTTATGATAGGGGAAGAAATAGCATCTCCCAATTGTATTATTTGTACCGCTTGAGGTTTTTAGCTTCGACCACGCCCACAGCAATTAGCATGAACAACCAGTCAGTTGACTTTTTCGTCGACGCTTTCAGAGTGATTAAAATCGCACAATGGACAGCAATCCACAAGATGACCAGCGCGACTGCATCTCCTTCCTTCCCTTTCGGTCTCCTTCCGGCAAAACCACACAATGCCTCACATTTGCATACACTTTGAACTATTTTAGCAGCTTCACATGAGACCCCACCCCAGCTTCCTCAACCTTCACAGCTTGGGGCAGCTACCAGCTACTCGTTGACTCGACAATTTTGCGAAATTAACCTCAGACTCGACGGCGGCCTCAGGTCACGTTGCAATTTACCAGCCAGCGTTCACGTAAGCCACTTGGGTCAACGTCAACCCACCGTTAGCTGCCCTTTGCCCGCATCATTTGTCAGTGGATGAGGCTGCTGACGTTGCGGCATTGGCATAAATTTAAAGTGACTCGGTCGGAGAAGTGAGCACCGACAATAGCGGCAACTGTAGCGTCGTCAGCTAACTAATGATGCCCTAAATTGAATCTAATCATCATTAACAATTACACAGCAGCGGCGTTGGCTCGTGTGATTACCCCCAGTCAGAGTAGCTCACTCGACCATTAAGTCTAATCATATGCAAATAATTAAGCGCAGTGACACGACCGGCACGGACCAGACAGCCGGTCAGCCGTTGAAATATTTCCCTTAGGTCCCATCGTGCAGTTGTCGCCAATACTTTTGTGCTCTCTGCTCCCCGATCTCTGGGCCGTGCCGCCCATGTGCGTGCCAGATAGACAGCCAGGCAGCCTGGTTATGCTCCTGCCCTTCTTGCCTGCTTCAACCCTGTGCATTGTCGTCATCAACGCTGTGGAGTGCCTGCTGATAATGCACACACTCGGTTCATAGGTGGCTAATAAATTTGAATATTAATTGTCAGTGTCTGTGCCTGTGGTTGCACTCTGAGATTAAAATGCGCCGGTGCAGGGCAGAGTCAAGGCTGTGGTTCGGTTTTCTTTAGGTTGGGGTAGTTTTCAAGGCTTCTAATTGGTTTCACCACTAAATTAGATAATAGGCTGAACAATTTGAATTAAATCGAAATTTCGTAGCTTCAAGTATTTTCTGCAATTACATTTGACCAAAAAATAAACTGGCCAAAAATGCAAGCAAAAAAAAATGTGAAAAACATGTACTTTTGCATATTGTACTGCAGTCATTTATTTACAATTAAAACCTCCCAATGGATGCTATTTTCGGCCAAAATTAATGTCTGCTTAAGTTAATAATTTAAATTCGGATGTTACCCATAGGAAAAGCACGAACGAAAACAAAAAGAAAACTCTGGTCGAGACTACCTGACTGTGAGATATCCCGCATGATCTGCAACACTATGCATTTAAGATGTACTATGACATATGTATTATTACTGGCGAAATCAGCTCGACTGTTGAATATGACCACAAATTCATAAACTCTACGGAGTATCCATCTGCCTACTTTTTGTATAAGCTCAACTTCTTCACACCCTTTTTTACCCAGTTAAAAGACCAAAAATTTCAGCGAACCAAGCAGTCATATGGACAACTCCGTAAAGTCAAAAAAAAATAAAATGTTGGCGGCGAACCCCATTGTAATACTCGTCCCTTGCCTGGTCGCAATGGCTGGGTAGCTGCCACGATTAATTTAACGCTCCACTGTGTCAAGCTGTTGTGGAATGTACTCGTACACTGCCCAAAATGGAATGGACGCAATCTGCATTTAAGTCTTTTGGATTGCATGCTTTTGGGCGCAGTGCACTTGCGAACTGACCAATAGAATCATTTTCCGTTTCCGTTACGTTGCAAAAATGTTTCCACAAGCAACTGAGCACGTGGGCACTTGCTTACCCACAGCAAGTGGCAGGGTTTGGTTGCCTCTACACAAGTGAGTCTAGGGATTGCAATGCTTGAGGCCAGAGGACGAGATTCGATGACTGCGAATTGCTGCGCCGCTGCCAAATAAAAATGCGATTTAATAGCTAAATTACGCCCTCAATATGTGTGTATCTGTGCCTGTCTGCCGACTTTTCTGCTGCGTTAGGCAACTTTATGAATCCCACAAACTCACTGTGCTCCTCTGCGCCACCTATCAAACCAGCGTGCTAGGCTGATTGCACTGTGCATTTGTGTGTCTGCGTGTATGAAAGTGTAAGTGTGGGATGAAAAGCTGCACATGCAGCAGAATTTTAAGCCACGTGGCCATCGTTGGACGACCCAACGCTTTTGACTTTTAATTGCATTACACGAAAGTCATATATTAATTGCATAATTGAATGCAGCCAACGTGCAGTGGGTAAAAATTTGCTGCGTGGTTGCACACTATTGTTGCAAATAACAACATAAATGAGGCTTCAATTGTTGGCCATGTGAAGGCAATTGTCTGGTGGCCCACAGAGCCAAGTCAATAGAGCAATCAAAATATTGAGGCACTTGTTACAAAATCACTTAGGAACTCTGAGAACAGCCTCTACCCAGGTGGAAGGTAATCATGTATGTGAAAATGCACGAAGCTAAGCTAAAAGTCGAGAAAACATTTATTTTCCCCAGAACCAAAGTCAATTGATCTATATCGATTCATCTGCATGAACGCGCTCAACTTATTGAATAAAACTCAGAAGACTGTAAGAACTATCTATAAAAATTTGATTTGTCTAAGTTTAACACGTAATTTTAAAGTCGAATACGTCCTAATACTCGCTTTCAAACCATTTACAGCCACCATGAATATTTGTTAGTGGCCAAATACAATAAATAATTATCGATCTTCGTAGAAGCCCTTCAGTTGATTTGCAATTCAATAGTCAACGATCAATTTTTAAAAAAATTTGCAAGATTTTCCACCTTGCAGAGGTTAATTTGTCTAGATGAAAGAAGGCGTTGTCTTGATCTATTTTAATTTGGAATATATACTATAATAATAAAAGGTCATATTATCACTGGCCTATTTTTTCCGGTTAACTCATGATATATTTTAGCATTTATCGTTCTTTTAAGAGGCACTAAATTGCATATTTTTAGTCTCGTTATCGCAGCTCTAAAACAAGCGCGTCATTTTTCCTAGCTTAGCCCCAGCGAAAAACAATCTGCACAACACTTGTAAAACTTGACAGGCGTGCAGCGGACAAGTTTTACGGGCAACTCAGCTCGTTGGGGCGTCACAAATTTAGAGCGGAACAGCTGCCGCCCACCTCAGCAGTACGACGGTTCCGTCAGAATCTGCACTCCGACCAGCTCTTCACAAACATTTACAATTTATTGCACATTTGCCTACAAAATATCACCCAATTCAGGCAGAGCACATTTAATGGAGTATGCTGATGCAGGCGGACACTCCATGCCACATGCCGCATGCCACATACGTGCCCGGGGACCTGCATTCGGTTGATGGGATGGTGTGCTCTGGTGGGTGTGACATTACAGCATGTTCCATTGCACATTTGATGAATTTATTGCAGTTTAGAATTTTTTGCCCAATGTGCAGCAGTTGCAATTTTCCCAAAGACACATGGAACAGAAAAAAGAGTCAAACTGCGATACGACCCCATGTTGCCTAAACAAAAGGGCCAAAAAACAAGGGTATAAAAAAACCAGAATGAGGCGGAGGCTGTACGCTTTTTTCCTTTTTGCACGTTTTCTGTGGATGAAACTGTCAAAATGAACGCTTAGAAACTTATTTATAGTTTGGCGTATACAATTTTGGAAGCCTGTGCCAAAAACTTGCCCCTTACTAGAGGGAGAGCATGAAATGAAGTTTATGTGATATAGATAAAGATTATAAAGAATAGTTGAAGTGTCGTATGGTGGCTGCACGGAGCTGTCATTTTAAGTTTGCAACTACACTGAGATTAATTGACTCATGCAAGAGCAGTTCTTCGTAGCCTCAACTCTTTAAATAGAGACACACAGATTAAATGATCTCATACAAATTAAGCAATTTCAAGGTGCCTGGATCTCACCTGTACGCTCCAGCACGCCGTCCGTCGTCTGGTTAATTACCGACTGATTACAGCCAGCTCCAGTCGTTGGAGCTGGCCACTTGCTTTATAGCTGGCTAAGTGGTATTTACGTTTTAATTTAACGCTTCTTTTGGGGCTCGGTCCTGGGCAATGGGTAAACGCCGATGGAGTAATGAGTGCTTGGGCAATGCGCTTTCGGTTTCAAGAAATGCAATACAAAGGCAAATGAGAAGCCAAAACCAAAAAGCAAGCCGGATGCCAAGACTAAAAAAGCTTTAAGCTAAAGCAAAGACGTTCCTTTCCAGGGTTACGGTTAAAGGGGGCTGGACATTACCGTCTGTAATTGCTGCGGCTGTGGGCAAGCCCCATAACGACAGGGCCAGGATAGACGGCAACAGTTGCCTTTGCCGCTGCCCCAGTCGTTGGCGCCCATTCAAGTGGTTTTTGATGACAAAATGAAAGGTAATTTTAGCGCAAATTCTCGCTCTGATTTTGCCACTGCAGGGCGTCCCGAACAAATGACAAGTTATGCCCGAAGCAGACGGGTAGTGTGGGCCATCAAATAGGCTTTGTGAGGATCGTTAATGCAAAAAAATTGGCCGCCTGGCTAGCAATTGCTTAACAATGGAACGTAAAAAATGTGCTAAATTATAATGAAAACGCTTTTCGGCAACCGGAAATTGTGGTTGCATTAAATATAAGTGCCTGGCGTAAATGTGAATGTAGGCAAGAAACGGCTCCGTCAGCTAACAGAAAGAAAACTCTGAAAACTTAGGGTTTTCCTCTTCTTTTTTTATATCTTACTTCTATATTGCAAATCAGAGTTAGCCACGCAAAGAATAGCTGGGAATTTAATATTGCCAAACTCCTCAAGCTTTGCTGACTATTACAGGCTGATGAATTTGGCAGCTTTAATCAGTCCGTCTGCAAGGGGAAGCTCCATTAAAGCAGAGCAAAAATAAAACAAAGGCACGGCTTGGCTGGCAGTGTCAGTTGAATGCTGCTAACTGGGCATATAAACGCCTGGGTGAGTATCTGTTGCAGCTACCGTATCTGTATCTGTATCTCTATATCTAACTGTAGCTGTAGCTGCAGCTGTATCTGTCTAACTGTGTGTGGCGGTAAATCTTTATAAGCGCGAATAATTGGTTTCCTCATTTAATGCGAATGGTCGGCCAGCAGCGGCAGCGGCAGTGGCAGTTTGAAGAGAAGGGAGGAGCAGGTTGGACGTTGGGGCAGAAGCAGCAGGCTGCTGTTGCAATCGTTGTGCCGCCGTCATAGAAAATGCTTCACAATAAACATCAGCTTTTTTTCTATGCCCCGGCGGCTGCCCGGGTGGCTGTCAGAGCAAACAGCAGGAGTCATAATATTGCAACAGCATCGGGATCGCAGTCAAAGCTGGCGTTAGAGTTGGAGCTGGTGTCAGCTTTGACTTGGGGGAGCAAAAAGAAATTGCTGGAAAAAATTAATTGCATTTTCATTATGTTGACTGGTAGAATCAGTCAGAGTAAAAGGGGATGCGACAGCTAGCAGCAACGGCAGCAGCAGCATCAGACAGACAAATGACAGGGATATAGGCACTTAAACATTTGTAATATGAGGGGTTCGTATCTATAACAAAACTGTCCTTATGATAGATATTTCTTTCGTGACAGCAGTGCAAACTTGGGCGCAATTATTTATGTCATATAAGGTGATAATATTCATTGGCAAACATAAGTATTACTTAGGTACATAGTCCTAAAGCCATGTGCTTACATAACCAGTCCACTATTAGAAGATACTAACACAACAGTAACGAAAATAGCAAATACTTAAAACCACCAACATTTCAAGTGGATTTTCTTATCGAAGTCTTATAAATTGATCTATAAAATAAGTGAGGTCAACCAACAATACGAAGCACAGCAAAAAATTTTCTTATCTTTATACGTGCGGCGGGAAATTGATTTCACAAGCGTGGTTATATAAAACTTGGATGTGTTATGTGTTTTTCTAACCCAAATCACTGGATCGATAAGATCGGATATGTCACATGTTTATATTGCGTTATGAGTGCGTAAAGTCGATCAGTCAAAGATTCTTAACAAATATTATGTTTGTTTTTGATTTACAACTTTACTCTCCAGAGAGCTAAATACTTTTGATACCTCATTTACGATAATGTTATTAAAGGCCAATCTCGTGTACCGACCCTATTCAGAATTCCGATTCCAGCCACGCCCATTCACATCATTATCATACGAAATGCATGAGTCAAACGTTTCGCTGATATGAAGCGAATGCCGCCAAAGATAAATATTTTATGTTCTATTTACATAAGATACTCACACAAAATGCGATTTACATATATACCAAAGTCAAAGCCAGTTATTGTAAACTTACTGTGGTTGTCGTTCGGTTGGAAGCATTCGTTCATGAAATTCATGAAAAAGACGCTAGCTGGTGTTTGTCGAAAGTAGAATAGAAGAATCTCACACTAGGTTGAATTGTACATGTGATAAGCCTGCTATTCTACTTGCCAATCCACACCGATCAAAATATATAGAGAACATTAAAAAAACACAAAGGAAAAACTTCTACTGTGCATTTTCTAAGTCGTACACTCAACACACTACACTTTAATCCGAACATCATCAATATAGGTTGAATTCAATATATGTTTATATATAAATGCATATATATGCCATATAAAAGGTATATGGACGGAAGGCAACACGCAACAGAGAACTAAACACTTCGGAGTTCAATAACGAAATAATGACATATTTTCATAGATATCGCTTTTTATATGATATGCCTTATCTGACGACAGTTTTTTTATTTACTTTACCTTTTACTCAGGCAATATCTTTCTGACAAAACACGCGTGTTTGTGTGTGTGTGAGGAGCAGATAACTGGATTTGGATTGGCCGCTCTTATCGATAGTAGGAAACATCGACTATGGCATATCGCATACATACACAGAGATATGACGACCTCATGACGAATATGCCACGGATATATAGCGCCAAGTGAATAACGCTAAGGCCCCACATAGATATGATGAATCGGGCCAACAGGTTGTACATAAAGAGAGTTTCTGTATTATCACGGCAGATATTTATATGTTGCACATGGTTGCTGCTGGGGTTAATTTACAATAAAAGGTAGCTCTCTTCACCGACTACTTATCACCATGCTCGAACTGAAGACTGCATCGTTGACACTAAACAAACAGCAGTCCAAAAAGGTGTAAAAGGTCGTCAAACGTGTCGGCGTATTGCTGATAAAACGAAAAAAAAATAGTAAAAACCCAAAATCAAACCACGTAATTTTCTACATATGTATATACTATATATACATAGATGGAATATATATATATAAGTATATACTTTTTGTCAGCCTGGTATCAATAAATGCTTCTACTGCGGCAGTTACCACCAAACTGCGTGCGATAAGATATAGACATTACCTTTGATAAATGACAAACAGGTGAAGGTTTAAGAAGGTATAAACAATATCGGTCTATTCCGTTCATGGGATAATCAAATATTGTAAATTCTAAAATTAAAAGATTGAACGAGCTTCCCTCTTATAGTGACAATGTGGTTAAAAACGAAATATTATCAGCTAGATCAAGCGATATTGATAGCTGACTTCGACCAGCGATTGTCCAAGTGCATATGTGTGAGGTTCTTAAAGCAAATGTGCTTAACTATACGATACCCTGCAGCTTGAAAAGTTGTCTGTCCATATGATAAGACAGGTAGAAAGAAAGCTGGCGAAACTTCGATTGTCTTTGAAAACACATTTGCACAAGGCTATTATTCGCTTTCTTAACCAATTTGTGTCACACAGCTATGAGGTAAAAACTTTTTTGTAAGCTTTTTAAGTGAACGTCATCAAATAGATATACACCGACAAAAATACACACTTGTTGTAACACAGGCCTTAGAAACATATACCCCAATTTCTTGTCTTATCAATTTTATGCTTTGCTAGGTATTTCCGCTAGCAACTTCAACTAACCAAACTAAAATTATTCGATTATATAACATAGCTCGACTGGCCTCATCGTTACCAAATTTAAGTGAATAAGTACAAAAATTTCCTATTATTCTTCGCATTCGATTCAGCCGTACAAAATAATCCGGCATATCTTATCTTGAGGCGAGGTAAAAATATTTATTGATATGTATTACTTTAAGATTTTATATGCCTGCCAAAGGCAAACAAGCGAAAAGAACGAGTAAAACGTTAGCGTGTGTTGACTTATCGTACTGTCGGCTCTTGGTACTTCTTGGTCAGGCACCTGCTCCAGTTGTTTCCTCTTCTAAACTACTTTTAATCAGGCCCCTATTTAATCTGGCTCGAACTACTTTCCGCACCATTTAAAAATATAACAAGCAGGTGGCATTGTTTTTAAATGTCACTGCACCTATTTAAAATGACAATAAAAAGGGTATATTATTGTGCTAATGTATGCAACAACAGTTAAAGGGATCCCTACTAAATCCAGTAAAGGATACATCTTTTCACTCAGCATCAATATCTGAGTCGATCAATCCATGTTTGTCCATTCGTCTGTGCGTCCGTCTTTTCAGTGCCAATATACAGAGTACTACCAGGTTTTGGTCGACAGTAACAATTTAATAGATGAATCATTTACTAACAATACATTTGAGGTCATTTATAATTCTGAGAAACTATGCCCAATTGAAAACATTATCTTTTTATGACATTCGCCCCGCTCATAACGTTTTAATAATGGCGCCAGACACAAAATATATAGACTTTCAGCCACTTGAGAATTCGTTAAGTGTATTTTTAAACATGCTTGTAATTTTGTTTTTCACTCTTCAAATCACACATTTATAACATGATTAAGAATATAATTATCTATATTCGATACTCTCAGAGCATTTTTATGTACACATTAACATGTTTATATGCATACTAAGTGTGATCAAAGCACAACATAAAGGGCGATGGCTAGATCTTTTTTGGATATATATTTTTACAGATTTTTTTTCTATTTTAAAAATTTCAGCTGGAACTGTGTTAGATTAGCGAAAAACGTTTGCATGCATTGCATATTTCCGATCAGAGAAGAATGCATTAAGCTCTTCAATCATTTAAAAATTTGTTGTGAGAATCTATTTGAGATAAATTGCACAATTATAACTTGTCGTGGGCTAAACCGAGTAATACACACTAGCCAAATATAATTGTATATCATGTTTAAATATTTAGTCATGTTAAATATGAAATTGAATTCTTCTCAAATAAAACACATCATCAATAGTGTCGGCAATACACACATGTACATATATCTGTGTTAAAAACAAACAACAAGCAAAAATCAGGACAAACGTGACGTCATTTGTAATAAACAATGTGTGAATTGGTGATTATTTTGCCAGTTATTTCTATAGAATTATTATTAATATCGTGCAAACAAACTTTTTTTGTGCACAAGCAACCAAATGGGACAATGAGGCCTCTGTTTATTTTGGGGACCGCCTGAAGTGGGATATCAGGTGAATACGCAGTTTTTTAATAAGGATAAAATACCCATATACAGAAACCCATATCTGAGCAATTATTGTTATGTTGTGTTGTTGCACCTGTCAAAGTATGGCGACGGGCAATGCCGCGTTCAATACGCTAATAATTTATTAACAAATTTCCCATTTTTGGAAATGCAAGCGTGCATTTCTAGGAAGTCCAATTGTTAACGTTATAACTAGAGTTGAGTAATCAATAATGGAAAACTTAACACTTCCAAGAAATTAATTTAAATTCCACAAATGACAGGCCACACAGTCGCCCATCCTTTCCAAGAATCCCTTTTGGGTATTGCTGCATTCCGAAAACATATTTGCACGTAAGATTGATTAAAAAGTACGTGCTGTGATTGCATAATGAATGCACAAATGTCGTTGCAAAGTGGTTGATTGGGTCTCGGACAATTCATTACCTTTTTGTAATGGGCAGAAGTTTGGAAGTGGAACTGAGAAAGGTGTGAGGCGATGGGGCACAAAAATCCAAGCTAACTATTCACTATTCACAAAGAACCTGGAAAAGTGGGTGAGAGCTGGTGAAAAGCCATTGATAAAGGAATAATAATTTCCGCTCTTGTCCCCACCCACGCACACAGGTAAGATGATTTTCAATTTCCGGACTGATTCAAGGTAAGGTAAAAATATTCAATTGCAGCAGTTTAAAGTACAGTCGACCGCTATTTCATAAGGTCGAAGACCGCTAAAAGTCAAACAGGGGGCACGTAAATCCCAGACTAGGCAGATTTCACCTGCGGCAGCCTGCAGCCTGCAATGAAAAATCGTTTAATGGCACCATTCACACACTCGGAGACACACACACACATACACACGTGTAGTCGGGCAGTCGGGGTTGTCCGGAACAACCGTTTGCAGTCATTTCAACTGTCAGTCTATTTTGTCAGCAGGTCGACTGGGTGCCATTTTTAGCTGTAGGCAACAATTGCTACATTTTCCCAGCCGCCATGAAAAACGGATTCAACCTGCAGCTAACCTTTGTGCAAGGCAGTCATATAGCCAACATCATTTGTCAAGCTCTGCGGCAATTAGAGCCGCCTTATGACTCTTTCTATTTCAGTTCTGAAACACCGTGTGCAAACGAGTTCTATATTATGGGACGTGAACAAGTTCCGGAAATACCAAATTCTAAATACCCTACAAAATCAAATACATTTCCTACACTATAGTTATTTATTTTAGCTAGCAAAATAATCTTTTTTATCCTAGATTGATACATTCTATCAATCACCAAAATTTTGAACATTCAGAAATCACAATCTTAAGCTTTGTATTCAATAGCATTCATCAATTAATCCTTGTTTTTACCCAAAAATTTCCCTAGTTCGTTTATGGAATTATGCACATACTATTTTTAAGCAAGTACCTAGGACACTTGACTGGGACTGTACGTGGCGTTCTTTCAAGTCGGCGACCCACATTTATATACCCATTCCATTTATATTATATGCATTCGTCGAAAAAAGTTAGTTTAATTTAGAGACGTTTATAGCCCAGATAAGATATATCGCACTCTGAGCAAGTAGATATATACGATGTTGTCGCTGGACATATGTACATGTATATTGGTGTTTGTGTGTGCCACTTTAAACAAGTGATTTCGATTTATGATTAGAATTTGAACATTGGTAAACAGCTTACACAGCAGAGATAGTACAACGTCAATGAAGTTCTTTCTAGGGTGTGAGCACATATAGTTTAGGGGAAATCGCACCAAAGTTAAAATAATTCCATAAATGTTGATAAATATTTCGTAATTTACTTAGAATTTTTAACGTTCAGCTAACGTTAAGAATTATTCCTATTATTCACTCTTAGGGGATATTTTCCAAAGGGGCACACATACCTGCCTCTGGCAATGAGTTACCGAAACACGACTGCTAATTACCGATGCATCTCGTGTCATTCGTGCACATTGACCAAAACGCAAATGCCAAAGTTTTAATCAATACCCAAAACCGCAGCAAAGTCAACCAACTGCCACTGCAGCTAATAGACCATGCCCACCACATCGCAAAACGCCCACAAGCGACAGCCGCAACAGGGACACCTTCGAATGCAGCAGCACGTAGAGCTCGTTAGACATTTTCTTAAGCTAATATTTTCACTGGGCACGGTGGACACGGACACGGGTTGCTGCCTGGAGGAGATTATTCAAATGATTGGAAATTATCATGTCCTTGCATCCATTTTTGGCTGCCGCTTGCGCAATGGCCATTGCCCGTCGCCCGTCAGCCATTGCCTATTGCCAGTTTGCAGTGCAGCAGCTCCCGTGTGCAAACAACAAATTGCATTTGTCATCTGCTGCATAAATAACGAGATAATACCGTAACATAATAACTGTCAATGGGGGGGTGCCAAGGCTGGCTGAGAGCTCCTCCATAGGTAATCCACCTTTCAGCTGGCCTGGGTTGAACGTGTCTCCCGTTTGAGCTTTGCATTCATCGGAGTGTCTGAACGTGTGTTCGTGTGTGGTTGTGTGTGAATGAATGCGGTATGTGGTGGGTGTGTGCGAAATGCGAATTTGTATCGTCGATTTGCATATTTAATCAAAATTAACATGACCGATAAAATCAATTACACACACTCGCAAACACACACACTCAAATCGAGAGAAAGGGAGATGCAAATGCAGGCACAGCCATCTGCAAGATACTCACACTCAACAACCTTTCAGACAGATACACACACACACACATAGAACGCATACTCGCATAGTCTATC